TTCAAATTTTAAATTTCAATTGGGCTTAATTTAAAAACTTTTGGCTTTTTTAACGAACTGACTATTTAGAATAACTTGTATAGCGACTAACTATTACAATATAATTTATAAAACAGCATATCTCACATGTGAACATGGCCCATTGTGGATGTTTAAGGACAGCAGTTAGTGGTGACTTTATAGTTTTCGGGTGCGCTCGCCAAAATTCGTATCAGTTCGAAGTTTTTTAATATTAAATATTTAATATTATCGTCATCTAAACCTTCTAAAATGTCTCTTCCATATTAAATGATGAACTGTAATTTAAAATTTTTAAAATGAGGTTAGAAATATTTATAAGGACAAGGACTCTAATGTCAAAATTTTAGATTTACAATAAGTCTTATTTTAGCATGGAATTTATTTGCCTGTAATTACGTTGTCACTATTAGTGGTTGACGTTATAGAAATTACTTTAAAACATTCTTAATTCAATAATGTTATTGTGACTATCATATTAACTTTCAACTATTATTGTTCAATTTGTATTGGATTGGTTTAAAGGCCCTCGTAAAACGATAAAAGTATTTCGAGAACCTATAAATAAATCTATTTATAATAAATTTTCTTTATAGGATATCGAATAGTTTTAAAATTTATTTATGTCTGCTATTGATTAGAACACTCAATTTTATTTTTAAAATAAATTCTTTACAATATAATGGTTCACAATTTTGATATATTTTAAGTCATTGATCTGGTTTCGGCAAGAAGACAGTTTTTCTGTGTTGTTATAAAAGTTAATTTGAAAAAGGTTTTTATTTTTATTATGTTAATAGCTTTAAATATATGTAACATATTTATACATTAATATAAAATAAATAATATTACAATAGTAGTTTGTGCAACAATAGTGGATATGATGGCCATATCGTACGAATACGAAGTCTGAGTGCGATACGGCTCAAGTTGTACAGTATATTTATTCTACGACCCACTTAAGAAAATCTACAAATTTAAAAAATTATTATAGGTCATTGAGATAAAATATCTAATTTATTACTTTAACTAATTTATAAAATAAAATAAACCTAACAAAATCTCCAATTCTAGATTTGAACCCTGGACCTCTCGCAAGGAAGACAAATGCGCTAGTCTGAGCTCCATCGACACACAATATTTTAGTTTTAATACATGTAATTAAATTGATTTTAGTTTTATTAAAATTTATAATTTATTAGATTAAATAAAAATGGAATTGCTATTATTTATCGATTCTACACAAGAGTACCTCATTTTAATGTTTATTTAATCTCAATAACTAAAAAATATACTGACAATTGGTTTGACAAAATTGTCACTTATTTAAAATTTTAAAAAATAATAGTATTTCGGTGACCAAAATATAAACTGTTATTGGTGGATTTCATATTTTTTGCAGAATGGATATAAAATATATTCATTTACTTGAACGCAATGGCATACTTTTTCGTTTTGTAATATGTGCGTACAATATTTTATTCTTTTCCGTTACTGAAAAACCTTAGTATCCTTTTAGTATCCTGGATGTTGTTCACCATCAGTATCCGTTACTTCTTTAAATTATTAGTGTTCAATATATAAGCTTAACCTCATTTTTGTTTACGTCTCAATATTATATTTTAAATTATTTATGGTTAAATATTGTGTATACATTTTGTTTTATTTTTAAATTAGTATATTAAATTTTATATTGCTTAGAAATATGACAGTTTTTGGGCATGGACATACGATGTTTCCGCAGGTAACATGTAAGTTAATATGTCATCCAAAGTTCTTGTCAATGATAATTTGTCATTTTTTCTCAATAACTGAGTTTTCTGGATCAAATAGAGAAGGGGAATTCATTCTTGAAATTCTTCTTTACTTTTTACTGATGAAGTTTTACAGACAAACACAGTGTCGGATTGGGCCGTTCGCGTCGGTATACTGGTCAAAAGACCGGTAGGCCCTTGTTCAGTCAGTGGGCTTTCGGTCAGGCAGCAGGCCTAGATTAAATTCAAGAAACCCCGTAATACGTACCTTTTTTTGCTCTTCAATCACATCCGACCATAAAAAGGTGGGCCCTTCTCTCTCCTAGACTGGTAGTTCCTGGAGGTCCCAATCCGACACTGGACAAATAATATACCCACATTCTCTGGATAAGAAGTCCTGTATCAGTATGTTGAATAGCTTCGTCAATGACAATACCTGGTCCTAGTCTGAGAAAGCTCAAATAAAGCCATGACAGGCCCCGAAATCTTCTATGGTGTTGCTAAGGGGGTTATGATTGACAACCTGTGTTATTTTTAACAAGTCTGTTATTTTATAAACACACAGAAATAACAACCTGTTCACAAATAACGTGTCTGTTAAAAATAACATTACTTGTCCATCATAACCCCTTTAGGCATTGTGCAAGACATCCGTCAAATAATGGATGCAAAAAATGTCTCAGGAATGGTGGAACAACCATCCAGTATTAAGGCAGGCCAAAGAGTTCATTGAAGAATCGCCGGCCAAGTTTACGAAACTGGATCAAAAACAAAAAATCATAATAGTAGGTTGTTTTACCGGACATTATTATCTTAAAAGACACATAAGTGTCATCAATCCAGTAAAAGAACAGCATTGTGCAGGTTCGAAGAAGAAGAAGACGAAGAAGAAGAAGAAGAAGAAGAAGAAGAAGAAGAAGAAGAAGAAAAAACATCTATATAAGTGTTGTGCCAGTATGAAGTCCTGGCTAAATTGAGGTTTCTGACATTAGATAAAGAAAAGCCAGATTCATGTAACTACATATGGAGGCATGGAGGCCACGACGAACAATAGATGAAAAGGTCGCGGTGAACAAGGACAAATTATCTCCGACTTCCGACTCCTTTCAAATCTAATATAATCTAAGCACTATTTATTTTCATTATTAGAAAAAAAAATTCTACGCCAATAAGAAGTTAAGCACTCTCAGTAAATTTTACGATTACTGATGATTGTTTTGTGCGCATATGATGTTATAGATCTTTTGTACTGGGGATGATGTAGCAATTAAATACAATTGTTGGCCTTGGCAATTTGTATAGTAGTGCACCCCCGTTAAGAATATACAATGTTTCCGTAATTAACATGTAATTTGTTATGTCATTTTTTTCCTAAATATCATTATTTTCAAGCGTGAATGAACGTGACTTTTTAATTTTTAATGTTTTTTAAGATGGTTGACAAAAAACTCATTTTAAGCACATACGGATATAAGGTTTATAATTTAACAATATAAAAAAAATAATGATGAAATTAATATGTATTTGTATTAATATGAAACGCATTTTAAATAATAAAAGAGCTATTTCTTTATTAAGAGCGAAAAGTGATACTTTGCCGCTTGAGACAGCAAGTTGGTCGCGCGACGCGTAGACAAATATTATTTTTCTACTATTACTATCCAAAGTAGGCTTTTCCGCTTCGAAATACAACCGCAAATTTGACGTTTTCCACGAACTAATATTAATTGACAGCTTTGTTGCTCGCCTAATTTAAATTAGATATAATATAATAATATTTCTTTTTAATAAATGATTTTCAAGTTCTTTGTACGTAGTTTGTTCCATTATCCAAGTTAATATTGACTTTGGTTATCAATTCCGTTTTTCATTATTAACGTAGATATAGGCAACACATTATACACTACTTACGACAAATTTTGTTTTATATCTATTTCACAAAATAATGTTATAGTAGAAAAACTTTTGTGTGCATTTTGAGCGAAAAGTTCGTTACCGCTTTCTACATATTGCCGCGTTCCGCTACGCGTCGTGCGTATAACTTTCTGTTTAAAGTGGCAAAATATCACTTTTCACTCTTAATACACAAATAACTATTTTTTTATTGGTACCCTATTTTACTTATTTAAAGTACGCCTCAGCGTGTTTAAAACGAACTTTAAAAAACGCGCGTGTTTTAAAATTACCATGGCAACATTAGCAACCCAAGAAACGTGATGTCTAATTGCCAACTTTTTAAATATTGATCTGACAGGAGTGCCTTGTAATGTCAAATAAAATATTTCTGAGAAATTTTTCAAAAAATGTATTTATCAGCTAAGCGTAAATCGCACAATTCACCTCTTCTACAAGAGCCAAAGATGCCACAAATAGCAACCACCTTCAAAAATAAATACGTAATGTCCGGTGCATCTGTAAAAAACTTCCGCAAATCGTCTTCCTCGAATACATATGCCTTCTTGACTACCTCATTTTTGCTAATTGCCTTCATGAATGCATGCACTTTGACGAACTATTTTATATCGACCCCTTTGTTTATCCTCAACATACTTTGTAATTTTGAATGAATAGTCCACATAGTCGACACTGCGCCGTCATGCTCGAAAAATCGCGAGTGTTTTAAAGACCGTTATATCCACTTATACTTTAATATACTATTTTAACACTGCAAAACTCTCAGTTTTTCGGCCACCATTTTGTTGTTTATTTTTATTTTTTAAAACCGTATCATAATCTATTTCAGCATAAAATTTGTTGTAATTTTATACAATACACGTAAATTTACGATTTTTTAAAAAATTTCAAGATGGCGGCCAAAAAACATTAGTTCCACCCAAAAACCTATTGAACTAAACCAGCAACATATCAATTTGTTCACCATAAGAATACGTTGGCGCCATTATCGTTTATAAATTTAATAACAAGGCACAACTCATGATAATAAAACCCCTCCACAATAAATTTCTGTGATTTGACGAATAATTTGACTGTTATAACTCATTAGGGAGTGCTGTATTGATGATATAAACAATATGGCACCTGTCATAAAAACTGAGATACTTTATCATCCTAGAGGATATTTTTATCCACACCTACATTGGTTTTTATTTCGGTTTTTTTGCTTTAGCTACATCTTTTATTTCTAAACGGCTAAATATTCACTCGTTGCTCAAAATAAGGCATTTAGTAACTGCTTACATAAATGTCTATTATATTATTGTTGTTAATTTTTATAATTTTTTCAGATCCGTCTGCAGGAACTACTCCTACCCAGACTCTATGTCTAACAACAACGACGGGGGCATCGGTCCCATCTCGCCGCCGGCGCTACTTTCCCCCAGCGGTAAACTTCCATCGCCAGGTGGGAAACTCCCATCGTTGGACCCGACGGATAGGTTTTTGGGAAAAGGCTCCCCGTTTTCGCCATCTAATGGAGACCCCCAGAGACATTCCCAGAGTGACGATGACAGCGGATGTGCCCTAGAGGAGTACACGTGGGTGCCACCTGGACTCAGGCCTGATCAAGTGAGTTTGTATTTCTAATAATGCATTTTTTTGTTTTATTTTATTGAAACAGGAAAATATTTTGGAGGACAGTGGCGTAACCTCGTCGAGTACTTTTTTATTCTGTTTAAGATATCTCATAACTGTTCTTTTGGTATCGTCCTAATCGTCTTTTTCAAATCGATAGACTTATACTTCGTGCATATACAGGGTGTTTCATTGCGAAATGTTCAAACTTAAGCTACAGACAGAAAACAGGCCATTTCAAAAAATATATATTTAATATATACTAGGTGTTCCTAAACATCATGTCATAATTGAAGGAGATAATTCCTTGTCTTAAAGTTCATATAAACATGTGTTCTAAATTGCTTTGTTTCGAAGATACAGGGTGTCCAAATTTTCATCAATATCATAAATACTCTTTTGCCGATTTTGATGAAATTTAGTACATTTGTTTGTTTAAGTAAGAGGCTCATTTAGAATTGATTACACAACCTAACTGATATTTTTGACAAAAAAAAGCACGCCACTGTGTACTGTATCAGCATAAGTTATGTCATCAAAATTTCAGAACATTTTAAGTCATTATTTTTTGGATCGAAGACCCATTATTTGCGATATTATCTCGATAAAACACGAAAAATAGAAAAGTTTAAGAGTTAAAAAAGATGTGTTTTTGTTTGGCGAATTTGAAAAAGAAAAGAAAAAATATGAAAAAGTCAGTGGCGTACTTTTTTCTTCAAAAATTACAAATAAGTTGCCTTTGGGGACGCCACTGTAATTAATAATAATTAATAATTCCGATATTACTAGGGCAAAATTAACCTCTTACTACAACAAATGAATCCTCCAAGTTTTATCAAAATCGGTCGAAGAGTGTTTATGATATGAATGAAAAATTTATTATTTTTAAAAATTTGAACACCCTGTATCTTAGAAACAAAGCAATTTAGGACACATGTGCGAGTATACATACACTTTTACTCATAAATTGTGCCAAGGAATTACCCCCTTTAATTATGACATGATGTTTAGGAACACCCTATATAATAACTTTATTGAAGAAAATAAGTAATCCTAAATAATATACATACAGACGAATAAAAAAGATAAATGGATCGAATATTAAAATACCATTAGAATTGATGAATATCTCAAAAAAGAAAATACAAAAAAATTAATTTACTTTACATAGTTGGAAAGAGCACAAAAACTGAAATTTGAAGTTTAAAGTTTCAGTTCATCAGAAGTTTAGTGACTCAATATTGTTTTATGTTGATCTTTTCAGGGTGTTGCTTTTCTCATCACTTGTTGTGCACGAACTCCAATTCGGGAAGTATCATCTTATACAATATGTTCCGCTAAGCGCAATATCATTTGTCACATAACCTTAAGTAAAGTATCAAATTTATTTCGTTTCTTCTTAGTGTAACTAGAGCTGGTTTTTACGGTACGTGTGTTTGAAAAACGAAACACACTATATAATTCAATCCCACGAAGGAAACTTGATCATACCTGCTTAGCAAATTGGTCGAGAATTAAAAAAAAGTCAAACGATTTATGTGTTCGGTTGATACAGTCCCAATAGTGTATTTAAAAGAAGAAAATTTAGTAAATACACATACTTTCAAAAGTCTTGACCCTGGTAACTTTTACCGCGTTCAGTGTAAGGTGACTATTTTTTGTGTATAAATTATCTTATCATACATAAAAATAACAGGTTGTAAGCAAAAAATTGTTTTCGTCCGAAAATATGCACGTTTTGAGAAAAAATCAGTTCTGAGTGGACATCGAGTATTAAAGTATCCATTAAATTTGTTTAAAATGCCAGGTCTTCCGATTTCTCAGTTTAACCGGGCAAGAATAGTGGCCTTACATCAAGGTTTGTCAAATTACCAGACTGCCTGTCATCTGAATATTTTATGAACTTCGGTAAGTGGAATAGTGGCCCTTTTCCAGAAAACAGGCAGTGTTGTGCGAAGGCCGGTGACTGGTCGTCCCAAAGTGACATCAGAGAATGAAGTATATGGCAAAGTTTACCGGAAGGAACCGAAGTATAACAGTAACAGCTCTTCGAAGTTATTTTTGCAAACATATCGGAGGGTAGTTTCAAGAACTACTTATAAGAAGGAGATTTCATTCCTCAAATCTAAAGGCAAAAAGACCTTTAGAGTTCCTAGACTTTTACATCGACACAGGGCTGCACGTCACCAATGGTCTCAAGAGCACAGCAACTGGCTTTTACCACAATGGCACAACGTCTTTTTTCAGACGAGTGACGATTCGGTCTATAGAGTGGTAGTCAGCGGGAAAGGATTTGGAGGGGTTGCAAGAGGTATTGTTCCCTTTCAAGGCGGGTCAGTGATGTTTTTGGGGATATAATGTTTGGTCGCCACACCCAACTTATTTTGATTAAGAGAATCATGATAAGTACCATATACGCTGAAAACATTATTTAACCAATCATTCAACCTTTGCGAAATGAATTTGGAAACAATTTAATTTTTCAAGAAGATAATGCCAGACTGCATCGCACGCAAAGTGTGTAGGAAAGAAATATCCAAAGAATGAACTGACCGCCAAACTTACCAGACATGAATCCCATTGAACATATATGGGATTATCTTGGAAGAGCTATATCCAATCAAGAAAATCTCACTTTAACCTTCCAGGACTTGAGTGTAGCTGTTTAAGAAGAGTGGGACAATATGCCTGATAATTTTATTGATAACCTGATCCAATTGATTAAAAGGAGGGACAATAATACAAACTAATAAGTTATGTTTTTGTTACGATATAACATTTTTCTCAAAAAATAAAATATTCTTACTTTCAATTTTTTGACTTTTTCTAAATTCCTTTATTCTGCATTATTCGGAAAGCCAATTAGAAAGGTTGTGTATCACGTAATTTGGTATTAAAACAAAGAATCAGTTTCACCATATTTTCAAAATTTAATTTGAATATTTTTCAAAATACCCAGGGGGGCCAAGACTTTTGGAGATGTGTGTAGTATATAAATAGAGGCAATAAATCGAAAAACTAAAAAAATCAAAGTAAATAAAATCAAGATAAGATCAACAAATAGAAAAAAAAATTGCACAGGTTGAATATAATAAATATGTTGTTTTAAGAATGTTAAGAAAGGCTGTATTTCTAATTTGTCTGAAATAGAAAAAGCAACTAAATTCTTTTTGTTACGTAATCGATGTGTTTTTCGAACGTCATTTTACTGTCAATGGTTACACCTAAAAAACGTTTAATGATAAACCTTCTTATTAAAGTAGGTTAGATTTATTAGTTTTATAAGATAACTTAACATTTTTAACGCATTTTCTGGAACAAAAGACATAAAAAACGTTTTTGACGGATTAATAACTAATAAGTTTTGTCTTTAATGATAACATTAATATCATTTGCATACAATATAGACATAAACATAAGTCGTTCATAAACAATAAAAAATACTGGCCCTAATATGGAGCCCTGCGGTACATCAGCAGATATTTTTTTATACAGATCAGTAACTTTCCTAAAGTAGTTCACACCCCTAAAAAAATTTGTTCATGCAAAGTTGATTTTACTTTTTAGAAGTTCCTCGAATCAAATATGTCCAGCGTGCCCTCTTATTTTAATATACCTAATACTTCTAAATGTAAGTTATTCATTTAATATCTGCTTATAGAACAAGTTGGATCATAATGTTTCTTTTCTACCACTTTTAGTTCCTAAACTATACTTTGTGATAATTTAGTTTTTATATGTTGACTTCGTAGCATCATTATCCACATATTATGAACGGCGAATTAAAAGATTTTTCATTTAAGAGCCCTAAAGGCATCTTAAAACTCCTTATATGTAATTAGTAATCATTTTCTAACATCTAACTGTAATAAATTATTGCAATTCGGGAGGTCCCTCATGAATATCTAACTGTCAGTTTGAATATGCACGCGTGACTAAGAGTTTGATCAAAAGAGAACCAACACGAACACAATTGAAGAGGTCGGACAACTAACAAATTACAAGTGGCTGATACAGGTTGTTTACAAACTCTATGCTAATTTTCAAGATGGCTGATCTCTTAGGCAGAAGTCCAGGATAATTAGAACACAAGAAAATGATAAGGACGGGTGAGGCATCTGAGATAAAAAGTCTATTTTATTGTCTATAAACATTGCTCGAGTCCATATAATAACATATAGAGGCAATTATATATTTCCTTACAAAATTGTTAATGGAGCAATGAATTGATTTAGAGACAGCGGCGTCTTGTGGTCTAGTTTACGGGGGTACTAATTTTGAAATATAAAAAAATATCAAAACTTATCAAAGCAAGTCTGTAGATACCCGGCAAAACCGCATTTTTTATAATATTAGGTACCTAAATAATCATGGAAAACAATATAATTTTCTTAGGATAATTTTTAATTTGGAGGTTATTTTATTTCTCATTAATTTTTATATAAAAAAACGTCAGTTTTGAAAAATATAAAAGAAAATATTGTTGCAATATCCCATTTACTAATAAAGATAAACTTGAATATTTTACACTTCTCTCGGCCACATTGAATAACAACCATAAAACATTAACAAGGAAGTAAATCGAATTCATGCATCGTGTGGCAAAAACCGCAAATCTTAATATTATTCCTCCACATGGCATAAAACCTACATGATGAGGTTTTCATTTCAATTACGAAACGTACACGGTTGAATTAACCACTTAAAGGCTATAAAGTGTCGGATGTCATTCATATCCCGAAGAGTAGAAGTACCTTTTTACTTTCCTATCTGTATACAGATATAAGGAAAGTATAGGAATCATGATTTTTTTCGACCTCGAGTTTTCGACGGATTTTTACGTTTTGAGGTCCCCTGAATCCGTTTTGACTATTTTCGCGATGATGTCTGTGTGTGTGTGTGTGTGTCTGTGTGTGTGTGTGTCTGTGTGTGTGTGTGTGTGTCTGTATAACGCATAACTCATGAACCGATACACAGAAAAACACCAAATTTTA